GCCGTAGACCACTCAAAACAAGGGTAGATGCCTTTGCAAAAAGGTTTTAGCCGTCACTGGAGGAAATGTTTCCTTTTAAGTTGATATAAAGACAGCTTTGTCAGCCCCACTATAAGAAAAAACGACTAACGAATGCTTTATCAAAATATATATACAACTTTACGTTCAGCCTAAAGGAAGGGAATTGAAAGCTGGTTTGTTTATCCACTTTATCAAGCAAAGGCAGGATCAGAAAAGAGTCCAATTGCCTGACAAAGTGCTTTGCATTTTCACTCCTAGGAGGGAGCAGTTAGATCCTGACAAATGACCTTTTAAAGAAAAACAAATGTAAAAGAGATCTAGGACATACTTTAACCTTGAGCTAGCCAATTTCTAAATAGTGTCAGGAAAGCTTCCTGCAGAATCAAGCATTCCAGAGGATACCACCATAAATCACACATTTTCCCCATTCCGGAATACATGCAATACCAACCCAGTCTTCAGTCGGAGGCAGGTTTGGTCCTGGCATGTGTACTCACCTCATGCAGGAAAGCTAGCAGCCCGGAGGGAGAGTCGGCACCGAGCGTCCGGCCGCTGTGCCCCACCATCACGGGTGCCTGCTTTTGCATTTCCCATGGTCCCCCCCTTCAGCCCCTGTGATCCCTCTTCTCCATTTTTGAAAGGGAAATCCAAGAGGCCCCGGTGCAAACCAGCCACTGGTTGTGAGAAGCCTATCTGAGAACTGTAAAACCGCCCGGGGTTTCAAGGCTTGTGTAAGTCTGTGATTCACTCCACGATGGGTTCATCAAGCACGCCTAAGAGAAATTACAGGTTTCTCCTGTCTGGAGCAAATCCATTATAATGAGTCACTTGTTTGTGCTTTAATTCCTCATCTTTATCTCAATCACATGAGACCGGGTTGCATCTACTGCACCGGTGTAATTAGAACACGGGATAAAATGCAAAGGTGGGCGGGCCACTGTGGACGCTGAGTTTTAAGGGCTATCAGAGTTTTGCCTGTGTTGGTGCTGAACTTGGAGAAAAACTGGCTAGCAAATGGATCAGTAAATCGTGATCTAATCCCTACCTTACGCCAAAGAGATTTTCGTTTTATTTTTTAATAACCGGGCCAAGAGTTCTTACTGAGCCTCGGGCCATGACCGGGGGCAATTCAGACACAGAAGGCGCAGTTATTAGGAAACTTCACATGGTCTGATTTCTGACAAGGTAGCCCGGCTGGATTTCCTCTCTCACCACCAAAGCCCACACATCCGGATCCTAGTGTCTCCTATTTACATACCCTCCTCTGAGCCCCAGAACCTAAGGAAAACCGCCACTTCAATATCACCAGGGGAAGTGTTGACATGAAGGAGAAATAAGGGAAAGGCAATTTTGTTACATCTTTATGATAATGACGACTAAGGAGGCCACATTTGCGGAAATAGGTCATTTCTCCTGAGGTTGCTAGTTGAGTACCGGGTCATCTGGGAACTGGAAAAGCCAGTATCATCAATCCTGCGGTTGTGTAATCAGAGGCTTTTATTGAACATGTTCTTTGTGCAACACACCTGCTCTGCACTTCGGGCGTACAAAAGGGAGTAACATAGTGAGCAAATCAAGCGAGTAACCCAATCCCCAAAGGTTTACAGTCTTATCTGAGAAAGAAAATATTTGCACACCAAAAGATTAAAAGTGAATAAACAATAAAACACAATAAATATAAAGTGAGTGGCACAGATTATAACTATTATAGGAATCAGATGGGGACCATCAGCACTTCTGGATGGACTCATCAGGGAAGACTTCACAGAGAAGGCGAAAAGCAAAGCAGAGCTCAGACAGTGTGCCCTGAATAGAACCCCAGAGTCTTTCCCAGGCAGGGGACTCTGTATTACAACCATGGTAACACTGAATGAGGGAACTGTCCAATGATAAGCTCAGCAGATTTTGCTGGCTGATCCCCCTGATGTTGAACAGACTGAATCAAATGCTTAATTCTTTTATTTAGAAGTCAATGAACTAACTTCCATGAGGGTGTCAATGTCCAGACTCCTGCACAAGGCCACGGCTGTGTGTTTGCTGGTGTCTGTGTATGTACGTGAATTCATAGGTACTTTAACAAAGACAGCTAACATTTCGATGGCCAAATACTATTCTAAGTATTTTACCTACACGTATTCATTTAATCTTTGCAACAACCCTATGAGGTAGACTCTATTTTTTTCAACGTACGGGAGAGAAAATGAAAGTCTAAGGAATTTAAATAACTTCCCCAAGAATCATGTCTGAAGTGTCTAACCACGAATCAGCCTTAGACACTGGTAGCACCAGTTTCTCCTTGAGCCACCTGACCAAGTCATTTCCTTGGTGAGGTGTGAGCAGGGCACTGAATATGTCTCCATTCAGGGTCTTCCATAGTCACCCTAAACGTGCGGTTCACTGACATCTTTCAGGAGGGGACAGACTGAATTGTGGGCAGCAGGAGAGAGGGCACAACTTCTTCAAGGATTTCCAAAAACTTCTGGAGTTTCTCTGTTAGCATCCATGGGCCCTTTCTTGGTTAATAATAATCCCAAGTCCGAGTGCCTTTACTGCCAACCCATCCTAAGAGGTGCTCTGCATCTGAGTAAGCGTGCTTTCATCCTAGATGGGACTGTTCCCTGCTTAATGCACATACAGATGAAAGACCAATCTCTCTCTCTTGTTTGTGCCCAGAGTTCCCATCTATAAAATGAGGCCATTGGACCCAGTCCTTTTTAAAGTTTTTCCAGATTTCTAATCCTATAACTATTTGGCTTCATGAGATTCCATCCTCACTTAAATATCTTGACTCTGGGTAAGTCCCATTTCTTTGTACTGAGATCTCTGAGTTATGAAAACCGGGACTGTGCCTACCCCACTCCCTTCCCTGGAAGAGACTCGACAGAAATAACTAGGGAAATGTCAAGTTAAAATCCCTTTCTGACTTCGTTTGAGAAAAATGTGACTCTTGTCACAAGATAAGCAATGCCACTTGAAAGATGACTTACTCTGCAGGTTGGTGTATTTTTCTACCTTCTGATTGACTTCTTATATTTTTTGCTTTTTCAATCTTCCTTACTTAGAGAAAGTTTTTTACAGTAAAAAAGAAAGAGAGAGACCCCATTCATTCACAAAGTGTGTCTCACTTTCCCTTTTGTAATGTAACATCATTAACACTGGCTTCTTGCTAGGATAATTAGGGGCTATTCACTGCCCCCTTTTCCTTTATCCACTCATTTCCTTCTGATGCATCAGCCTGGGTGCCTGCTTTATAAAGGAGCTTCCCCCCACCCCCAAAGGAGCTTCTACCTATTACAGTGCTCTCCTATTGGGGGGCTCCTTGTTTGAACATCGATTTGTTTACCTACAAGATTAAGAAAATGAGCAGCTCTGTACTTGAAATATGATAGTCTCCCTTCCTCATCACTGGTTTCAAAAAAACATATTGTTGGTGAGGGTTAATCTTACATCATCAGAGTAGACCGAGTCCCTCAGTGGTTCCGTGTCTTGAGGAGCAAGTCCAGAGCTGGAAGCCTGCAGACTTGAGTTTCTAGCTCTGGATTAGCTATGACCCATCACTGCAGGCTCCAGACTCCATAACTTACAACGAGCATCTTTCTGGTTCAAAAGCTCTATATTTTTCACTTAGCTCACGGCCAACTTTCATCCAAGACCAAGCCAGGTTAACTGTGTAATCCATTTAAATTTGGACAGGTGGACTATGCTGGCAGTTGGATTCCTTTTGTACACAGAACCAGCAATGACCTACTTAGAGTCAGCCCAACTGTTGGTGACTATTCATGAGGGCCCCTCCCTTAGCAACCCACAGAAACCAGCCAGGTGACATCCCAGGCCACCTTGGCCAAGATGAACCAGACTCTTGTCCTGAGGATAAACATGACCCAACAGCATGGAGCTGGAGGCTCCAACAGGACCAAGGTCCTGCTGCAGCTCATTTTGTCTTTCTGTTCCCTTGTGGATGCCTGGCATGGCATATATACATGTATGTTGACAGTTGTTGGGGAGAAATGTTTAGCAGAGAAGAACAGCTTAGCCAGGGGGGCCTTCCAGCCTTCCCATACTTCATGCATTCTTCCATCAGCACCACAGCATGGGAGCCTTCCTTCATACTCCCCGGAGGCAAGAAGACGGGAAGAAGCACATTTTTCCTGGGGCTCTGCCATTCCTGGAACGTATGACCTTGTCAAGAAGAGAAAATCACAACTTTAATGTACAAGCAGCAAGAACCCAAAGCCTCACAACAGCTGCATTCTGGGCTCACTCTTTCTTGAACAATAAGCCCCTTTGGGTCGAGTCCCCTGGGCAAATGGGAGTCTCTTAAATCACTGGAATCCAGGGAATAGGCTGGTTTTCTGTTGCCTACAAACACTGAGTTACAACCCTTGTCTTTCTGTAAGCTGGACCACTTCCTTTCCTCTTGGAAAAGACCCCTTTCTTTGTACAAGGCCCTGGGCCGCCACAGAAAGTCTCGGCCACACCGAGCCACACACGGCTTACTGGAGCCCCGATGTACTGGGGTTGGGGGAGGGAAGCTCTGTCTGGATTTCTGAGCACCTCTCTCTGTATCTCCCTCTGCTCTGTCTCTGTCACTTTCTATGTGTTTCTGAGTGAGCCTCAGTCTCTCTATACATCTCTGTTTCTTTCTGTATTTTTCTGGGTTTCTCTCTGTAACCCTTGGCCTCTCTCTGCGTCTCTCTGACTCGCTGTGAATGTGGGTATCCTGTGGTGGGTGTCTCCATCTCCCTGTCTGATCTTCTCTCTCTAGATCTATAGAGACACGGACACGGAGGATTGGAAGACTTGTCTGCACATGTCCACATATCTGGGTGGTTCTCTTACAACCCAGAGTCACCACGCCCCTCAGTGTCTCTGTATTTCTGTTTCCCCCTTCCCTCTGTTTCTATGTCTCTGTCTCTCAGACATTACCTCAAAAGTGAGTGAACGTCTACATTATCCCTGAGGCCTCACACAGATAATGTTTATGATAATTCCTTGATCTTTTCACACTAGGGAAAGAGAGGGGCCACAGTGGGATATGTGCAGATATTGTTGGTCTCACGCCCTGGGGATGGGGGACTAGAGAAGGAAGGGGGCGGCAGCCACAGAGAACTGGCACCTCTGCTCACTGCCCCCCTAAAAGGCACTCAGGCTGACTTACAACCATTCTCAGATACGCCTCATTATTTTACAGCAACAACAAAAATTTCAGTAGTGCAACCATTAGAAGTGTGAACATAACTTTAACCATACCTAGATGAGAATGGATTGTATAAGAATCCTTTCAATCAAGAAAGAAATCATTCCTAATTATGACTCACATTGTGCTGTTTTTAAAAGAAAGGTCATACAGATGGCATGTCTTTGAGAACCCCCTTCTTTCGCACTCACCTCCCAAGTTAGGAGCATGGCCGGGTTTGTTAGCTTGGCCCTTTGGTGGGGTGACAAGAGAAATCAGTAGGAAGGTTCTGTTGACGACAAAAGTACAATTGCACTTAATCATCATTAGTCTGTTTTCGATTATCACAATTATTCAAAGCACATAGAGAATGGTGACCTACAGCAATTGATTTTATCCTTTCACTCCAGCCCCTCCTGCTTTATATTAGCACTGCTGACAACATAGGAACAAGCTGGTGTGAGGACTCCTCCACCCACACCTGGCCTGGCTCTCTCGCCTGTGGGGTCCCTAGTGTGGGAGGAAGGTGGGAGGAGGCAGCTGAGTGGTGTGGAGAGACCGAGCAACACTAGAATGCCTCCTAGCCCTCAAATAGCTCTCCTCAGCTGGTCTGCTGGAACCTTCCATGTTACAGTCATCCTTTTATAATGCACCTGAGTCTAAAACAGCCTCGTGTTTTCGGGAAATGTTGCTTAGGACAGGTAATGCGTTAACTCGCCAGTAGGATGATCCCCACATGAGCATAGACTAACGCACCACACTGGATGTAAAAAGAACGCAGACAAGCACATTTTGTATCCTGGGTATGGGGAGCCAGGACTGACACCCCACAGGCAGGTACTGCGAGGGGACAGAGTTCAGTCTGGCCTGTGGGAGTTTGCTACACAGGGAGCCCAGGTCTACAAGGCAGGAGAGAAGACAGATGATAAGCCTACTTCCTCTGAGGAGGAACTGACTTGCAAGAGCCTAAAGCTAGTGGGCAGAGGAAGGATTGCAAGAAGTTAGCATAAATTTACCCAGTTCCTAGACCCGTGGTTCATAGCCCTGGGAGCTCATCAGAATCACTGGAGACTTTTAAAAATAAATAAATAAAAATTTTTTTAAAAAGTGACAGGCCCTAACCCCAAGAGTTTCTGGTTTAAATTTTCTTGGGTGTATGTGGTATTTTTTAAAAGTTCTCTAGGTGTTTCTAAGGTGTAGCCCACATTGAAAACCACGGACTCCAACAACCAACAAACTGATAATAAAGTTCTGGGTATAATCTTGACTTATCTTTTATGTAAAAACACCAAGAGAAGTGGGCCAAATGACTATTTCTGGATAGCACTGAAGGGCGGAGTAGCTCTGTGTGGCTGGATGGATTGGTACTGAAATCCCATCAGAAAGGAGCCATGCCAAATCCGAAGGGATTGCAAGAGCCCAGCCTCTGAGAGAGCACCAGGCAGACCAGTGTGGTGCTGGGTTGGGGGGGGCGGGGTGTACTTTCGCCAGGCAGGCTGGTTAGAGCAAATATGTACAATGCTAGGTACTTCAGGAAGGCGTGGATGAGAGGGTCCCAGCCTCAACTACATTAGAACAACCTCGGGAGCTCGTAAAATTCCCAGACACACCACAGACCAATCCAGTAAGCCTCTCCAGGGGTGGGACTCAGGCAACATGATTGGAAGCTGCCTACTTGACTGCAATCTTTGGCTAAGGTTGAGATCCACTGCTTTAAATCACTATTGATGTTTATTCTCAATAAAATGTAGCTTTTTAAAATTTCAGCTGGAAAGGATATGGAGGGGTCAACAATCCCCCAGGTTTGGAGACCAAGGACCAAGTTTGGGTAGGAGTAACACCAAAGGACCTAGGAAAATAAAGGGAAGAGAAAGGAGGGAAGGTAAAAGGGGGATGAAGGAAATCAAAAGAGAGACTAGAAAGGCAAGGGATACGGGGCGGGGCAGTGCTGCCACTCAGGGCCACAGGGTGTGGCCCTACTGTGGATATGGATCCCATCCAGTGTTGGCGTGGAAAACTCCAAACTTCTCTTGTGATTGGGAATGTCCCCTGGGCCAACGCTGATGTCCCTTTTGCTGCTATTCAAACATTTTCCCATGTTTCCCTCACTCAGAACAGCTGAGGGGTCGAAGCTTGGCATAACAATACATGGTTTCTGCACTGTGTGAGTGAAGGTCAAGGAAAGGGCACGTATGCTACTAGACTGTAGAGCCTTCTCTACCACACCGCTGAGCCAGCCCCAGCCTTCCTTTACACCTCCAGTAACTGTGGCAACCAGCCCCTCTTGAAAATCAAGCTATTAGGAAGTTCTTTGTGTAGCTGCAGAATTTGTTTCCCTGGACTTCCTCACTTTGTATGTGGCTCAGCCAACTGGAGTCAGAGAGAAGGAGCAGGCTGTCACAGGAAGATCAGATTCTCTCTGCTCTCGTTTCTGTGCTCCGGCATGGGCTTGCTCTCCTGCTGCCTAGGTTGAGGTTTGCCCCCCGCAGCAAGCCCCCACCCCCATCCCCTGCCTGGCCACTCTCTTCTAAATGCATATAAGTCTGCCTTCCTCTCCTTGGATGTGGTGCCACTGCTCCAGAAAGAATCTGAACAGCTCAAAGAGGTACTCACGGGGCACTTCGGAAACACCCATACCACAGAGCGTTGGGGTGACAGTTTTAGCAACCCTCCACATGCAATAATGAGTATGAAGGCTTTACCTCAGATATTCTGGAGACCCATTTTGCAGAAGTTACTCGACTCTTTAAAGCTTCTCTTATCTGGAGAGAGAAAAAAAGGAGTTAAGAATTAAAAGATTATGAGAAGTCAACACAGGTGTTCAAGTGGGGCGAACACTCTGGTAAGAGAGTGTGTGACCAGCCAGGCCCTGGCCGTAGGTTGTGTTGGGGTCAGTAACTGGGAGGAGTGCTTCAGGAGAAGGTGGGGAGAGAGAGAGACATAAGGAGATGAGGCTGGCACAGGAGCTCCTACTCAGAGGCCTTAAACATGAATCCCGTGGCTAAGAAATACAGTTTGCCACAAGTTGGAGGAATCTTTGATTTTGCTTTGGGAGTAGGTTTTCGGAGCACTTGAATAGTTAGACATTTCCCATAGCTTGTCTGTTATTTGAAACCCCCTTTCTAGGGGCGCCTGTGTGGCTCAGTCGGTTAAGTGTCTACCTTGGGCTCAGGTCATGATCCCGGAGTCCTAGGATGGAGCCCCGCGTCGGGCTCCCTGCTCAGTGGGGAGCCTGCTTCTCTCTCTCTCTCCCCCTCTGCCTCTCTGCCCTTCTGCCCTTCTACCCCTGCTCATGCTCTCTCTCTCTCACACAAATAAATAAAATCTTTAAAAAAAAAACAACCCTTTCTAGAGGCCGATCCATAGTTAAAAAAAAAAAAAGAATCCTATGCAACCTAGCAAAAGTCCGTGGAATGAAGAAAATAAGAATAATAAATAACAATTATATTTTGTTTTCTAAATATATATTAACTAGATTTCACATAAATATAAATATGAAATGTAAATATATTTAATACATATTAAATAATATATCATATATAATTTTATATCATATATTAATGCTAATGTAATCAATAATAATATAAATTGATATAATATACTAATAAAGCATGTTTATGTATTAAGTAATATAATATATAATATATCGTATATTTTACTAACATGATATATAATATATATTAATATAATGTTAATAAGGCATGCTTATATATAATTTATTAATATATCAAATACATTTTGTTTCTTAAATTATATTTTGTTTTATATTCATATATTTTTTAAAAACTCTTCAAAGCAATTTTCATGCCTATCATCTCATTTTATTCAAGAAATAATCCTGTAAAATAGATACTATTATTTCCATTTTACAACTGAGGACAGTAAGATCAGGAGATGAAGTGACATCCAAAGTCAGTTGACTCCTGAGAAGAACTGAGACTTGACTTCATGTGTCCAGACTCCAGACCAGCCTGTCATTTTCCCTACATCTCTTGTGCTGAATGCAGGCGCTGTCTTATTTCTATTCCATCTTCCCTTCTACTTCATAAAATGTCATTCACCTTCCAAGGCCTTCACAGCTAAGAGGTACCTAACTCCTCCAGCTCAGAGTGACTTCACGCTTCCCAGGAAATGCAGTATTCTTTGTCACACATGAGATCCAAAGGGGGAGAAGCACTCCCTGGGACTTGGGGGCTGTGCATTCAAGGGTCCATGGGGATATGGGGAGACAACCTGGACCTTCTATTTACATTTCTTTCTTTCTCATCCTTTTTAAATTTTATGTTTCATTATGTGCAAAATACATACTTTGTAAATTGATAATAAACCCATCTGGGGACATATGTTCACTGCTTTTTACTGATCCTAAAAAAAAATGTGAGGATTACTGGCATAAACAACTTTATGTCAATTAATCATATATGGTCCTGTGACATCTTTGAATCTTGACCTTTTACACTATAATGTTAAATGTAAGAGGTTTTGATCTTGATAGAAAGTTCTATGTCTTAGAGTTCTTTGCACATCTCATGACACTTGGTAAATTAATAATAATTCTGCTGCTGATGCTTTGACAATAAATGCTAGTTGTGGTATTATGATTAAAAAAAAATAATCATATGGTATACAACTGTGTACTACCTTAAATGCTCTGTGTTTTTTCACTTGCAAAATCACATTTGTTCTTTACCAGGATCTAGCAGAAGAGGCAGGAAAATCATCATTATCTCTGCTTTCCGTTTGGAGGATCTGGGTTCCTGAGAATTAAGGAACTCTCCCAGTGGCGCAGAATTAGTACACAGAAATAGAAAGACTGAAACACCAATACTCTACCACCTCTAAATAATTTTTATTAGGTCAATATGGTGTTCTAATAACAAGATAAAGGAAGGACCAGTGTGAAATGCCTCTTTCATAAACCTCAGCTATTAACTTAATAATAGAATTAATTAAAAATCAACCCTGCAGTGAAGGTGTTTGCATCTACATTTGAGAGAGTTGTTTACTTTGCTCACTCTAGGAGGCAGCACAGTACAAAGGAAAGAGGGTGAGAGCAGAAGCCTGAGGAAACGTTTGATATTTCACGCATGTTTCCTTTCACCACCTATACACACTCGATCTGCAATTGGAAAATTCCCTTCCCTGAGTCTCCTGCTCTTTAAGGTGGAACTCACTGTCCCAACCTCCCTTGCTGCGGAGGTGCAGCCATGTGATCTGGACTCAGCCAATCAGTCATGACAGTGCAAAGAAGCAGGTGCCAGTGGACCCCAACAGGCTAGGTGGAAGCGACCTCCAGGACAAACAGGAACAGCAATTCTAGCTCAGCATCTGCTGCCTGACATGGGCCTGAGAATGAGTTGTGCTATCTGTGCCCAGGGAAGTGGGAGGAGCCCTAGGGTCTAGTTCTGTGCTCTAGATTGGGAATTGTTCCTGGCGTGTAGCCTCTGAGCCTCCAAGCCAGAGAGACCTTCCCGAAGATGATATTGTGAGACTTAATAAATCCTCTTTCTCCTTCAACTTGTTAGAATGGGTTTCTGTAGAGCTCATGGGCAAGTTTAATCACTCTGAGTCTCAGTGTCCACATCTATAAAACTGAAAATAAAAATACCCAAGATTGTTTTAAGGATTAGAGCTGACATACATAAAATGCTTAGCTCCGTAGGAGTTTGCCAGAGGGTCGATTTTACTTGCATCATAAAGAAGAGTGATGCTGTGTGCAAGTGTCTGCACAAATGATTGAGGTCAAAGATGCTCAATAAGTGGTCTTTACAAGTGAGGATTTCAGGGCCAAGTACTGATAATGAAAAAAAAGAAGAAGAAGAAGAATTTACAATACCTTGGGATCCAGGATTGTTCCAAACACCAAGATGAAGAAGCCCTGAGAAAGACAGAAGAGGGAAGAAGAGTCATTTTAAATACCAGTACTCATCAGTTCTTATTCTGGTAAAAAAAAAAAAAAAAAAACACCTAAAATAAAAACAATTTATTAAATCTTTGACTCTCTTAAGGTCACAACACCTAGATTCATCCATTTGACGAATTTTGACTGAGCATCTTGCATGTGCCACACACTTGGGATACCTCAGTAAATCAAACAGACCAAGGTCCATGATCCATACCAGATGATGGGATTTTCTTTTTAAATTGGGCAAAATAAAAGTGTTTTTGCATTTATCAGGAGCTCACCACAATGTATATCTCACCAGAATATAATAGTCTGAGCAAGAGCTAGAGGAGATGTTTAACCATGGACAGCACCTTGCAATCCTTGGACAAACTATAAGGAAAGAAACTTCCACAGAAAAAAAAAAAAAAAAAGCAAAAGTGGCTATGCTCAGCTTCTGTTAACACTCTCAACCTCCTTCCCCATCCATAGCCAAAGATTGTTATAAAACTTGCAAAGAAAAATCAATTGCATGGACCCTCAGAAGACTAAGACCCAAAACAGACTGAGCTGCTAAGCACATAACATGTACTCAGAAACAGATGCTCCAGATATGAGGACATGGAGGGAATTCCTTAGCTCTCAGATCCCTTACCATCCATCCAAACACAGACCCCATTAAAGTCAAAAGGAAGCTGTTCCTCTATAGATACAGTCCCTTTGAATTGGCCCAAAACCACCCTGGAAGAAGGAAGGAAAAGTATTTGTCCCATTTTCAGACAAGGAGAAAGAAACTCAGAGATTCAACTTTCAAAATGTGATAGATTGCAACATTCATTAGACAGTTTCTCCTGAAGGTGTGGTTACTCAGGTCCTGGCTCACCTGAGAAGAGAAATGAGATAATGACCTTTGGTTAACAAGGCATCACCTTGTTAAGCTGCTTTGATTTCATAATCGAATGTGAACCCTTACCCAGGCAGAGGTCTATTAAGACACATGGGTTTCATGTAAATGGCATCATAAAGATGTTGCACCCCTGTGGTCCTCAGCAGGAACAACACCAAACCCACTGCTACCTCTATTTGTAAGAAAAGCTTACCTGAGAAGTGGAGGATTTCACAGAGACTGGTGCTGGCCATAAAACTCATCCATTCCCCCCAAACATACTAAATATACCTATCCATTCAGCCAGTCCAGCAAGCACTCCAAAGCTTGGAGAGCTTCTTTGGGATTGCTTTTCTGTGTGATGCTCTTAGCCTACAAGATAACTATTGAAATCTGTCACTGTGTCTACCAAGAAAATGTCATAGATAGCAAGGTCCATTAGGTTACAAAGTGTCATTTGTATAAAGATGTTTGGGACAAATACATCCAGGCCTGGTTTCAGGACTAGGAATACATTTTTAAATCAGAATCTCCATGAATTTTGCCTAAGAATTAAATTTTTTAAATATCTAGGAACCATAATTTTAGCCTGTTTCCTCCAAAAAATACATTCCTCTGGCTAAAGGATGAAGAGGAATTTCTCTCCTTATAAGATTTTCAATTTCTCGAGGCTAAACTAAGTATATTCATATCTGCAAAATTTAGCATAATGCTTGACACAAAATCATCAGTAAATGTGATGTCTCTGTGTATTTATTTGTGTGTGTGCCTGTGTCTACATCTGTGTGTGTGTTTAATGGCTTTATTATGCAACCTGCATTTGTACAGTCATAAATATGTAACAGGGAAATATTCCACTTTTCATTGGTCCCACCTTGGGAAAAGTTACACAAAGCATCATTCAGAAAATGTGGATAAATTATTAATCAAGGGTTTAGTATCTGATTGATAAAAATTCACTGGTAGCAGCTTCTTTGCATTTCTTTTGGTAGATAAAGCACAATTTGAGCACATAAATCTCAAGGTATTCTCCAAATTTTTAAAATATATGCTTTACTGTTATGGAAGGAAATGTTCGTATCCCCCCGCCAAAATTCATCTGTTAAATTCTAGCACCCAATGTGAAGGTATTTGGAGGCATGCTTTTGGGAGGTAATTAGATCATGAGAGTGGAGCTCTCATGAAAGGGATTAGTGCTTTTCTAAAAGAGACCCCAGAAACCTCCCTTGCCCGTCCTGCTATGTGATGTTATAGCAAGAGGATGGCTATCTGTCCATGAGGCAGGAAGCGGGCTCTCTCCAAACACCGCATTTGTGTGTGCCTTGACCTTGGACTTGCCAGCCTCCAGAACTGTGAGAAATAAATTTGTTTATTTAAAAGCCACCCAATCCCTGGTGTTTTTGTTATAGCAGCCCAAATGGACTGAGACATTTACTTTTCTCCCACCAAAACAGCTATGAGGGGGTCCCCAAAATCTTACCCAGCCTACAGTTACTCTCAGTAAATACAAGAGAGGATACCAACCAGGAGTTGTGGGTTACAAAGTAAGCAGTCAAGTCAACAACTGACTACATACTAATCGTTCCCTAGCAAAGGGGGGGCGGAGGGCGGGGATGTTGGCGCTTTAAAACCAGTGGAACAGGGCTAGGACCGGGAAACCTCCAGAAAAGTCTTTCTCCTACATCTTCTGGACCTCGCCGTGTGTTCAGGGGTCTCTCTTCTCTGTCTGCTCCATCAGCGCCCCTCATCTCAGTTCATCCTAAGATTCTGCTCGTCCCGCTTCCTTCCTCTTGCTTGATTGTGTCCCCCACCTCAGCAGATTGATGGCTCTCCTTTCTCTCCTCCCACACTGGGTGTCCCTGGCCCACTGACCTGCTGGCAAATAGCAATAACCAGCTCTCCTAATTTGTAGCACTTGCCAGTCTCCATGGTTAAATACTCCCACACTGGCTGGCTTGAATCTAGCAATGCAACATCACCAAACGTGGAGTTAGGAAGCGGCGGACACATCATTATACAGTGTTTCCACCGTACAGATACAACAGACGCAAATAACCTCAGGAGCATAGGAAAATGTAGACAAATAATTAGTAAGTAATGCCTTTTGAGGATGTAGGACCTTACACAAAACTTTTGTTTTATTTAATTACAAGCTTACATATTTAATTTTTAATGAGGTCAGTTGGCAAAACTCCTGAAAATAGAAGTCATTTCTCTTGAACCAGTACACACCAGCTCCAGCACACCAGTGCCTATGGCCTGCCCCAGTGTCTACCCTTCACCCACACCCCGCTCTCAGCTTCTCACCTCCATTAGTACCAGCATTTAGATGAGCTCCACCCTCCTTGGCAGGAGTCAAGGCAGAAACTGAATTGAAATTACAAATTAATTCTGTCACCACAGGTAAAGGAGCTCATGGTAACAAAATGCAAATGCACACAGCCTAGTCCAGAACAAAACTCACAGTCAAGATGGCCCCCGGGGAGGCGAGGAAAGGGAAATGCAGAGGAGTAGATACATGAACTCCTTAAGGGCTCCTGACAGCCATGGGACACACTGAACAGAAATTTGAGAACACTAGGTGGTTATCCCAGCCCTATCTGTGACTAGCTGCATAAACACGGGTAAAAGCTATACAAAAAATGTTGGATACACTTCATCTTTTTCCTGTAGAAATGCATAAAAACAGAGATTCAAAAGATGAGGCACCCCTATTATTATTAACCTTGTTTGCGAAGGCGTCAAAATGCTTATTGTAAAACGAAATTATGTATGCTTCATTTTTGAAAGAGAAAAAGGAGAAAATATTTGACTTCAAATCTCTATTATCCATCAGGTAAAACATTTATTTTCAAATAAGCCTACATTCAGAAAAAAGGATTATTTTAAAGGTCATTAGAAAAATCAAAGCTTTCTTATCAATCAGTTCCTATCTACATATTTAATATTCAGTAGAATAAACTTTGGCTCATTGGTACACAATGACAGAAAAAAAATGAAAAACAAACAAATTTCAGTAAGGAATTATTGAATATGAAATACTATACAGTCACTAAAGAGACATATTTATACATAGTAACCTCATAGAAAGCTACTATGTATTTTTAAGTGAAAAAGTAAGGTGCATAATAATGTATATTTTTAACCCCTATAATATGTCAAAATATATTTGTATATAAGCATAAAAATTTGGCAAGGAGACACATGAAACTGTGAACATTGCTTAATTCATAGAGGTGAGAGAAGAGAAACTCTTTAATATCACTCTGTATGACTTGCCTCGTTAAAATAAGATAGTTTCCAATGGGAATTAAAAATTCTAAATGGAAAGAAATATAATAAAGATGCACATTTTAATACCTCCAGTTAGGTATCTGGATTTGGGGGAAGTGGTGATGTTTAATTTCTAAACAGTAGGAGCTCAGCCTTACTGTTGTGCTGTTTATGATCTTTAGGTCATTTTGGTACTTGGTGCTTCCTATTCGGTGTTTTATTTCATTTTCCTAACACCCTTATAAGGTGGGCAGTATTATACCCATTTTATAAGTGAGAAAAATGTGGCTCAGAAAAGTTAAGCAAGTATCTTAAGAGATCCTTACACATTAGTAAGTGAGAGAGGCAAGATTTGAACCCAGGCCTTTCTGGGGAAAAATAGCTTATTTCCTGACTCAATATGCTACCCCGAATATATTGTCTTTTATAAAGAAATATGACTGCAGAAGTTCCGATAACAAAGCTTCTTCCTGAATTCTCACACTTACTACCTGGTCAGTACCATCTAGACTTACCTGGAATGCATTGAGCAAGGAGAAGATAATGTGGAAGGCCAGGTTGCTGTCATCGATGACGGTGGCTATCCCGAATCCCCAGGTCAGTCCCAGCAGCGGTGTCAGGATGGCGATATTCTTACTGATTCTCACAATGGCTCTCACCTCTTGGAACATGGAACTGCCAACGGTGGCGCGCTGGGTCTTGACAATCACCAGTGTGACTGTGACCAGGTTTACGACCACGATGGCGAGGGCTGGGACCACGAAGGCCAGGAGGGCCTTGGTCATGTCCCAGTTGAGCCAGCAGGCCTCAGGTCGTAGGTAGCCTTTGCTGGGCTCAGTGGCAGCAACTGTGACAGCAGCAATGAGCAAAGGGCACCCGTAGCCAACTGAAAAGAGAGCGGCCACCAGGACTGATTTGGGCAGTGTATGGAAAACAATCAGGATTCCATACAGGATAAGGAGTGCCTTGGCAAGCATCCAGAAAAACACAGAAAGGTAAAAGAAATGAACAAAAAATGTTGCTGCCACACATCCATTGTGGTGTGTCACGGGACCACTAAGATAGGAAGCCACAATGAACCACACGTCAGCCATCAGCAAGGTGGCCGCGATGTTGGTGATGCACACGTGGCGTAAGTACGAGATCTCTGTCTTCGTCACTTGGCCCCAGACCAAGGCCTCGATGATCAAGCAAAGGATCAAGCTGCAAATCGAGATGCCCAGGCCTATGTACGTGATATGAATCAGGATCGGGCTCTCCAAGTTGTGGGGTGACATAAGAATGGAGAAGGAGGTAAACAACTTGCTTGGCCTACATTTGCAAACAGCTTGCTGGGAGTTTTCTTGAATTATTTGACAGGCCTGCTGGTCCCATCTGCTCTCCAGGGAGTGCCAGCCAACACACTGTGTCCTCCTCTCCTCCGACTTGCTGATCTTTTCAAAAATCAGTGAGATTCTTTTAAGTTCCTTGGGCAAAATGACAGACAAGACGAGCCCATTGACGGTGACATTCTCCAAAAGACTGGCTTCTAGGATGGCCCCAAGAGTCGGAAATGCAATGCTGATGGCCTGGGAAGGAGCAGGCACCTTCTGAAGTTCATCTCTACCGATCAGCACCCGCCCAGTGACCTCACTGCCCATGTCGTTAATTCTCATTGAAAAAGTGAAATTCTTCCCAGCGTTGTCTCGGGATATGGTGGTGCCCGTAGTATGAATGAAGACGTCTGATATGTCAATGGGATACTTATTTATAAATAGCTTTCTTGCAAAGGAATTGACCGAGTGTAGCAAGACACAGCTGCTGTTTCTTTCAGGGATGAAGGTCCAGTTTGAGATGCTTTTGCTGTTAAGAATGTGGTTGGCCATGATGCTGTAACTCTGCCAGTGAAGAAGCAGCATTAGTACTGAGCCACTACCCAAATCTGCCAGGACAGTCAGGATTCACTTTTATAAAGTGTGGTCCTCCAGCCAGCCACATAGACATCCCCTGGGAACTTCTTAGAAGTATGAAATCTCGGGGCGCCTAGTGGCACAGTCGGTTGGGCTTCCGACTCTTGGTTTCGGCTTGAGTCATGAACTCAGGGTCGTGGGATCGCGCCCCGTGTGGGCCTCCTTGTTGGGCATGGAGCCTGCTTAAGACTCTCTCACCCTCTGCCCCTCCCACTCATGCTCTCTCTCTCTCTCAAATAAATAAATCTTAAAAAAAAAAAAAAAGAAGTATGGAATCTCGGGGCCCACCCCAGAGCTAGTGAATCAGAATCAGCATCGTAATGAAATCCCCAGGGTACTCGCGGGCCACGGAAGTTTGAGCCGGAGAATAGAGCAAGGAAGGAATTGCCCTCATGTCATGTATGAAGCATCTCCCTGTGAGGCAGGCAAGTGGGCAGCTTTCCCCAAGCTCACTGACATCATCGGTTTCCCTTCACACCAGGGTGAAGCCAGCCACTTGTCTACCCTGCTCAGAGGACCCATCATGCAACGAACATCTATTAAGTCCCAACTGTATGCAGGACCCTGGACAGGAACGTAGCAAATCGAAATGTGACACCAGAGGCTGAACCTCCTTTTTCTCCTCTGCCTCAAAGATCAAAAATAAAAGAAGTGAATCCAGGTCCACTTCACACTTCTGCAGCAAACACGTGTGGCTGTTTTCTTTGCATGTGGCTATTTTCCATTTTAGCAGCCTGTTCTGACTCACAAGTGAGAGTAGGAAAAGACTCTCTCTGCAGGAACCAGAATGGTTCTTATAGGTGTTCAGTAGCTGAAATGTACGTTGGAAAACATTCCTATGTCGGACCCAGCACCCGTTAAGTTCTGTCTCTAAACGCATATTGATTGTGTTCACCTTTTCCATTTTCCCTTGCTTATTCTATGGTGAACATTTACTGAGCATTTGCTACCCAAGGCATCACAGACACTGATGTGAAAGACCCCGAAAAGCCCACAGAATACTCCAGCGAACCTGCATTCCTTTGCACCAAAATGTCATTCTACTGAATCAAGGTCACTCACCTGCATCTTCGCCTCATCAACACCTGTCAATAGCACCGTGGATATGTTGTGTAGGAGCTGCACGATGACAGCGATGTTTCCCGGGATCCGGGGAGACTGCCGAATGTTTCTGAGTACACAGGACAAATCCTCCGGACACTTTTGCATCAGCATGTCTGTGATGGTCTCAGACTTTCTGGCATACTCTTTTACTATTGTATTTCCTCCAAATGGTTGAACCGAATATGAATTTGTCTAAGAAAGGGCAAAAAGAAAGTTTGTATTAGGTTACTTTTGCTTTGAATATGAAAGTACCTTTAATAAAATGTGGCATAGCCTTATCATGCAATTGTACATTGCAAAATGTTTTTCAATTTTACAATTTGCTGTGGGATAACTTGCCCCATACCAAGGTAGGTGAACAGAAAACCGAAGGTCCAGGTTGCCAGCTGACTGCACCTAAACCCTCCCCCTGCAGAGAACAAATGCTATCTCTACCATAGCACTTCAGAGTGCTTCTGTGTATATACACCGTATGTATGTCCTGGACATCTGATAAATTTCTAATGTCATTTAAGCTTATTTTTACTAAGCATATTTTAAACATAGACATTCTGAACCAGATTTGGATGAATCAACTGACACCAGCACAAAAGAGTGACTGAAAATAGTGATAAACAGGTTGTCCCACAGATTCAGGCTCTGGGTCCCACACTTCAGAGCAGGGGGGCAAACATGGCCCCCGACTGGCTGCCTGTATTTGTAAATAAAGTTTTACTGGGACCCAGGCTGCTCATTATTGAAGTATTGTCCACGGCGGCTTTCTTGCCACAGTGGCAGAGTTGAATACTCGCAAGAGAGACCCTATGACCCACAAGGACTAAAATATTAACCATTTGGCCCTTTACAGGAAAAAAAATTGCCAACCCTTACTTTAGAGGACCCTTTTTTGGCCTCCTTTGGCCTGCCCCCTCACAAGACAAAGAGACTGTGGGGCCTAGAGGATATGCCCACTCTGAACTCATGTCCCAGCATCTAGACACTCAAATTCCCTGCTCAGCAACCCCAAGCCCACTTCCGGGGCCTGCATGGGCCTCTTCCCAAAGTCTATGCTACCAAGGATGGAGCATGCCACCAGTATGCTCACCACTAGGCCTGAGAGATGGCCAAGGGACACTGGTTTTCAGGGTTATGAGCATGTGACCTTGGCTTTCCACCACCCTGAAGGTGCAGGATAGAATCTGTTGGGGGATTCTATCCCCCAACATCTATCCCCCAATATGTTCTGCTGGTCTGTTTTGGCCAGCAGAACATATTTTACTTAGCAGTCTGGAAGCTTGATTTAAAGCATTTAGATATTAAAACATATGGTACATGGGTCTCTATGTGTATCTTTGCCCAGATTCCTCAAATTAGGGGGGGCCCGGTGATGGACACCCTGGGGTGGGCAGTCTTTTGAAGTCTGGTCGGGGACTTCAGGTACAGCATCCACTGGCACTCCCCCGGTCACCCCCAAAACCACCAAATGGGGAATGTTCCCTAGGACCAAAGAGATGCAAAAGCGCTGATTTCTCTGAAGGAATCGAGCTGAACTTCAGAAAGGTGAAGCCCCTAGGAGAAGAGGAGTGAAAGAAACAAAAAGAGAAGAAATAATATTTCACCTGATTTTATTTATCAAAATTTGATTTTTTTAAAATGTGTCATTACTTAAGTATGTATGGAAGTAGGTTCATTTGTTGGATAATGAAGTCCTTCCCTTTAGGTCAGCTTGCTCCTCATGCTTTACTGAACACAGAAATCACCTGGGGATCTTGATAACCTGCAGCTTCAGATTCAGCAGGTCTGGGGTGGGGCCTGCATATCTAAAAGTTCTCAGGGTAGGGGCACCTGGGTGGCTCAGTCGTTAAGCATCTGCTTTCAGCTCGGGTCATGATCCCGGAGTCCTGGGATCCAGCCCCGCCTTGGGCTCCCTGCTCAGTGGGGAGCCTGCTTCTCCCTCTCCCTCTCCCTCTGCCTGCCGCTCCCCCTGCTTGTGTTCTCTTGCTCTCTCTCTCTGTCAAATAAATAAATAAATAAATACAATCTTTTTTTAAAAAATGAACAAATAAAAGTTCTCAGGGTGGCCCATGCTGCTGGTCAGAGAAGGGTACTTGAGGACCGAGGCTTTGTAGTAAAGAGCTAAGAGCAAAGGTGGAGAAGTAGGCCATGATCATTCTCGACAGCTCTTGTAGCTCTGAGCTGAGGATCAGGTTCCTTTGTGTCATGAAGCATGTGGGAGCCCAGAGCACAGACTTTCAGATGCCCAAATTTAGGACTTCCATTCTCATGCAGAGAGAGAAAATGAGTAGGTGTTTATTCACGTTAAAAAGCACTCACCTACCAGCCCTGCCTCATGCTCCCCCTCTCTCTTATTGACCACGCTAGGCTTTGCTAATTTGGGGCTCCCCTCTGTGTGAGAAAAAGGATACTACCTCAAAGATGTTGAAGGCATTAAGAGTCCGGCAGGTTTCAGTGATCTTGTGCCATTTCTTTTGCCTGCATAAAAATCCCGTATTCCCCTGAGTGTCAGGAGGGCAAGGTTGGCTGCAGTGGGAATTGTCTACACAGACACCATCACATACACCTGGGGAAATAAAAGGTATCAGCATCAGATGGAGAGCTCAGGGCTCTGCACTGAAGGGGCCAATCACCAAGGTGTCAGCATAAGGAGGACACATAAACCCCGTGGACATCAGATGTATTTTCTTCACAAAGTGGAGGAAGATTGCAAGAGATCAGTGATCGTCATCTATTTCAGTGACAAACACCTGTTGTCTCCAACAAACTCTTATCCAGAACTCAAACGTATAAAACAAATAAAAGTGGAACTTCCCCAGTTGAAGTGACAAGGGAGAGCCCACGTTCAGTGCACGAGGTCTCGCATACCCCACAACTCCCTCAGAGTTCTCCAGCTCCCCAGAACACAGTATGGAAGCCAGTGCACCCCGTGTTCTTTGAGAAAGCTCTCAGCTCCAGAACTTCGTAATGAGTTATATCATCCATGAGTTCTCACAGCCCTGCTCTGGCCACTGCTCCAGGCTGGCCTGGCTCAATTGAAAGAGTTCATGGCAAAGAACTCTCTGGCCAGGATGACGCAGAGGGTCCTGGGAGGAGAGGGGAGCAGGGGCCAAAGGTACAATTTAATATGAGAAAACTAAAACTAAAGAGTCCAAATGCGAGCCATCAGGGAGTCCCATCTGTCATACCATCAAGAGAGGGCTGAGCATGGCTCTCTGTCCTAATAAATAAACAAAAACTTCCATTTGATTACTAACCACTGCCAACATACCATGTGGCCTGGCAGAGATCTTCTCCTTGCTTTTGTTGGCAACCTAGAAAGGGAAAATCAAAATCCACATGAAAACTAACTGTTGCAATGCCAGCCCGAAGATCCACTTTAGTCACAGACTAATGACCACATCCAGATCATCTCTGATGCCAGGCCACCACCAACAGCCGAGACCATGAAGTACGTCATCATTTTGTCATCAGTCTGGACGGTTTTCTCTCCTGCTGCAACTCAGCAGGATCCCTCCTTCCTCTCCAGCAAGAAGGACCAGCATTCTATCCAAGAAATACACCAAGAGCAGAGGTAGAATTACGTGGAAGCTAATGGAGGCTAAGCTTTGGAATCCCTTGCTTGCATGGGCCCTTTCAAAACACTGACAGAGGGTCCAGCAATGTGTTCACACAATTGTATATTTTATTAAATTTTCAAAGCCAAACAGTTTAACCATCTTCTGTTCGGACCACTATTTTTTGCCACTCCACTTTGCCTTCCTTTGCACTCTCCCTCATTTTGGATGGATATCACCAGAGAGGCTGTAGGTATTTATGGAATCTGGACAAGGAAAGGTTGAATTGGGGATCCATCTAGTTTGAATTTAATAGGATATAGTTATGAAATTTGCAGTCATTTCCACATTACAATGGGGACATCGACATGTAAGTGGCATTCGTTTTTAGAATATTTACAATTCTTAAAAATATAGTATTTACAATGAGTCACAGAACTAGAAAATTCTAAGTGTTCTGGGACACCTGGTAGCTCATATTTGAAAGAAACTTGTTAGATGCTTTCCCAAAGTTGACAACAGTCTTACATATTTACATGGCATTACTAATAATGAAAGGAGAAGCTGAAAGATATTTTTCTAAACTAGCAATAATAAAAAACAAATTTGATCAGCAATGCTGGAGGAAAAACTGAATAATCTTTCTATTTTCTCTACAGAAAAAAAATATTATAAAATTATTGACATGCAAGTATGGAGCCAAAAATGTAGAGAAAAAGATGTGGGCAGTTTATGAATAAAAATACTGTGATTTTACTGGGTTTATTACTGAATAATGCTGAGTAATTGCTGAATGTAAAACTCTTTAGCATTTCTAAATTTGTTGTAAAATTTGAAATTTATTGTAATTACTTTCCTCAATTTAAGTAGACATTCACTTTTCCCTTAATTTTGTATTTGTAATTTTGTATTCCTGTTCTTTAAGGAAACCCCCTCCAAATCTAGGCTTCCCCCTATCATGAGTACTTCCCACCTCTCCTGAGTAAAAACCCCTCTTCATCCCACCCATTCATATCAGACTGGAACCTTCACTGAGAGGCAGTCACACATTGTAGTCAAGGGGTATACTCTGGGAACAGACTACCTGGGTTCAAATCCCAATACTACTACTTGAGACCTTGGAAAAGTTCATCTCTCCAGGCCTCAGTTCCATTATCTGTAAAGTAGGGTAAGAATGATAGTATTATAATTGTGTGATACCTCAGAGCACTTTAATGAAGAATAAATGAGATCATCCTATGGAAAACACTTAGAATGGGGCCTGGAATATTGGAAGTGGTATTTAAGACTTAGCTCCCATTATTACTCTCTGAATAGGGACTTACTGAATATCTATGACATACAAAGCTCAAGTTTGTCCCTTCCAAGAAGTCTTTCCTGATCCAGTTCTAAATGATACATCCTTCTCTCTCTCTGGCTCCTGTAAGATTTATTATATATACCACTATAGCACTCATTCAATGCTTCTTATACATGCACATACTCACTTACTTGCTATTTACTATCTAACCATTTTTATATGCACATATTATCTTTTCAGTTAAATTGTATGTTCCTTAAGAACATGGGTTGTGTGTTGTGTCTTTTATATCCCCCTACGTTGCTAGTTCTGTGTCTCACACATATGTGTGTATGTGTACATAAACATGTATGTATATACTGACATGTGCATACATGTATGTGTTTGTGTGTGTGCGAAGAGAGAATGAAAAGGAGACTGAAATGTCCTGTTTTTGTGCCAGAAGTTTGCTCTCTAGTGGCTAGGAAGAGCCATGGTCCAATTCTCCAACTTGCATTCCAAGATCTAAAGCACCAGGGAAGAACCTAGAAACTCAGTGACTTAGCTATGTGAGTAACATGTGGAGTTCATGTCCCTTTCCCCTTCAAAATATTGTTTCTCTCTATGTTATCAAGAAATAAGCCTGAATCTTCCATTTTCTCCACCAATAAGAATTTATGGAAAATCTGAATTGAGCATTTAGGGTCTGTTCAAGGGGAAAAAGGTATCACCGAGGATTCGTGAAATACAATGTCCTTCAAAGCCCTGATGTAAAATGACTTCTCGTTTCACAGTCTAGAGATCCAAGCCTTATTATATACCTGGAAGACTTAAAGGCTTTTGACCCAACAAGAATAATAAAATGTAATTTTTTGCATTTTGAAAGACCTTTTTATTTTAAAGGTAAGGAAGGTGAGTCTTTGATAGAAGAGGTGACTTACCTGAGGCCACGCAAAGGGTTCTTCTTAGACCTGGGTCTAGAACACAGCTCTTCTCAATCCTATGACACTGTCCTTTCCTTTCCACCAAGTCAGCCCACGTGCAAGGACGTAGGGTGTGGGGAAGTGATGCCCTAAACCCATCCTGAGAGGGCCATGGTCCCTAATACACCACAATAAAGCACTTCAAAGTGAACAACTCTGGATAACCCTTGGCCCATTAAACAGAACCCCATGAAGTCACATTATATTAACCAGATATGTGGGCAGAAGACCATGGTGTGCTATTTACAAGGAATTCTGGAAACTCTGTCTTCTTAAGTGAAGGACCTGATTCACTTCCTCCCAATTAACTTGCCAAAGCACATCCACATCCAACTCCTCCTGTTCATTTCACTTCTAGGGTGGCCTCCAATATGAGCCCCTTCAGCTTCAGACATCTGCAATCTTCTGCAGAATACTATGAAAAAGACCCTTTGGAAACCTGTAATCTGCTAACCCTGAGAAGCGGCCTGAGTGAGAAGGGAGGTCAGGAGAGGGGTAGCACCCAGAAGCTCAGCATCCAGCAACTTGTACGTTGAGAAGAAAAGTATGGAGTGTTCGTAAGGTGGTCCCCAATAACCAAGAAAATAAAACCAACATCCCAGGCCCTGTCTACGCTCCACGTTCTGTCTTGTGGGAAAATATGGATGAGGAAATGAAGAGGGGAAGGAGAACCAAGTTGTGGGGTTGGAATGCTTTCTGGAAGTCTTTCTGAAGGAGTCTTTAGCCTGTCCCAAAAGCAAGGCACCAGCTCAGTGCTGGGGAGAAGGGGAGTCATAGAGAAAACTCCCGGTCAGTGGCACACTACTTAAAATGTAAAGTAAGTATCATTTGGAAACTCCTACAAAGAATTTCCAAAGTCATTCTTTCCTAAGGAGGCTTCTACAAGAAGGCACATAATATAATGGAAAGAACAAGAAACAGAATCTAACGAAACAGGGGTCCTGCCTTGGTGGTCCTGTGGCTGGATCAGTATGTAACCTCAAGAAAATCACATTCCACGACATGGGCCTCAGTTTCCCTCTCATGTAAGAGATGGAGCTTCACCAGATTCACCACTCAAATCTCCCTTCCAGATCTTGTAGTCCAATAATAATAATAATTTGATATTCCCAAGAACATCAAAGTAGTTTGATGTCTCTCTCTCCATCTATCTATCTCAATGATCCTCCACACCTTATTTTAAGTAAGTAACTGTTAAGGACATTAAAATAACTTATGGTATGAGGGAAAATATTCTAGAGAGCGTCATAGGGCTCACTGCCCCAACAAAATTTACAACCAGTACATTGCTACAAACTTCATCCCAGTTAAACCTTGATTAACCATTGACTATCTGAGGGGCTCATTCCTCCTTCCGGCCCATCCATTGCATTCACTCTCAGGATTCTCAAAGAGATCTCATTTTGGGTGGGACAATGCTTCATTGAGCCAGACCATTCCTAGGTCCTGCCCACTAACTGCCGTTAAGTATCTCCCAGTCACTGTGACACGCCCTCACCACCCCCACATTTTCATGTGCCTCCACGGAAGTAGCATTTCCCTGGTTATGAGCAATGACAAGCTTCACCATCAAAGGATATGAGGAAAAAAAAGGAGTTTATCAACCTCAAATCATTTGAGTCTCGTCACATCTCAGGAACTCTTAGGAAAAAATCAAAGCGAAAATAGTTTGAGGCTATTAGCCAAAGTGGGTTTTGGATACCTGTCGTTGCAACTTCTTCTGGCTGGACCACTGCATTCTCCCTCCACTTGAGCACAGATAAGTAGGAGCTGCCTCACAGATGGGTTTTCGCTCCCATTGCTTTCCCACCAGGCTTCTCCTCCCACCTCCCTTTTCTTACCTGGCATAACATCCTGCAAGACTCTGTGGGCAAAAGAAACACGAAGCAGTACAGCCAAAGCAAGTGAGTCATCGTCTTCCACGCAGCTGCCTTTCTTGCTTCTAGAAAAATTAATGAAAAGCAAAGTGTCTCCAATCTGAAGCTTTTTGAAACTTCTCCCTGCAGACCCAGTCAACCTGTAAGCCTAGGTTCTGTCCTTCGTCAACGCAGACTTCTCTGCCTCACAGGTGGCATCCCTGTGGCCTCCCATCGATCACGGGGAGGCTGCAGGTGTGAGTAACAGTTGGCCCCGGGAAGCGCAGGCAATGGGATACCTCCTGTGGGAATCCCTCTAAAGGAAGCTGCCTGCTGGGCTGCAATGAATAATGGCCCGTGTTCAGGCAACCAGAATGATGGTTCACTCCCTGGGTTAGGCAGGCCTGAGAAACGTGTGGGTGGCTATGGTAGAAGGTGAGCTGGGGTTCCTATGTGCAAACTCAGCCCAGAAATATCTTGGGAAGGAGAGTAAGCTCCAGGCTTGGCCCGTGATCCTCACTCCCACCTGACACCGGAGCTGTATTTTCATAGGTAGGTAGCAAACTTCAAAACTGATCTTAGCCAAGTCCTGCCATTGTGATTTCTGCCCAAACTGATGTCAAAACTGAAATGGTTCCTTGGCACCTAGAACATTGCTGGACACGTGGTGGGTCCACAATATGCTCATTATAGAAAGAGGAAAGGAGGGAGGGAGGGGAGGAGGTCAGGAAGAGCTGACGATTTATATCAGGTCCACGCTCTGTAGACGACTCATGTAAGTTGAATTTTTTAGTATTAAATTTTAATAATTTTAATATTTTTCATTTTGAGTGAAATCCTCTTTGAACGGTATTTGATGTTTCTTTGCTTGTAGATGGAAGGGTTCAGAGGACTTGGTGTCGTCAACAAAAGCCAGGAGCTTTTACAATGGTCGATATTTGCTATTTGACCATTTTTAGCCAAATAGGAGTAGCATTTCTCCCAATCATGCATAATTCTACAGCAGATAATACCATTATTTTAAAGACTAGGCAAAATGTCTTTTTAACCATATTTCCTGCAGTGAAATATTTACCTCACTGAAATCCAATGACTATTTAAAATATTTTACATTGCCTGTTTCAGCCTGTTGTTAATAGGGTTTTCTGGAGGTCCATGGTTCTTTAAGCACAAGGATTACTTTGTTGCTCATCACTTTCAAATGTATTTAGTAGCAACCCAGATAGACACACAGTTTCAAGTAGATTTCAGTTACGTTGGCTTCCTTGTTTCCAACTTATATCTTTCAAATGGATAAAAATCCAGTATGAAAATCACCAAAGTGACTTACCACAATCATCACCAATGCAGTTACTGCTTTGGGTAAAATCATCAAAATTAGAAATTAAAGCCACTGATGAATTTGTTGACATAATTTTCATAAAATCTGAGCCTGAGTCCATGTTTTTCTGAATTACATTAATTTTACATTAAAATTCTCATCATACAGAATGTTTTCTCTTTAAAACTACTTTAAAAAAAGATTTAAGGAATGATAGAAGACAACAAACTTTTGAAGGGTTAGCACTGCTCTGCCCAGATACTCAAATAGATTTTTTTTTAATATTTTTTATTTATTTATTTGACAGATAGACAGAGAACACAGGTAGGCAGAGGGGCAAGCAGAGGGAAAGGGAAAAGCAGGCTCTCTGCTGAGCAGGGAGCCCGATGAGGGGCTCAATCCCAGGACCCTGGGATCATGACCTGAGCCGAAGGCGGTCGCTTAACCGACTGAGCCACCCAGGCGCCCCTCAAATAGATTTTTTAAAAGGGGCTGGGAAGAAGTTGAATGATTAGATCAGGTGGACGGATCAATATGAAATCTTTGTTTGCTTAAAAAGTTTAAGGTGTCATATTGAAAAAAATATTTTATTGTCCTGTTGTTTTAAATTTTAAACGTAGTTGTTTTAATTTTATCAAAGTGCATTTTGATTATTATTAAAATTGTTTTTTATGCATGGCAAAATGAGGACTTTGTGCTTTATGTGGTAATGACCTTCACAGACTTTACAGTAGGGACTTTTTTGATAGTTATGCTACTATTAAAATTTTGGAGCCCAGAATTTTCTAGCAACTTCTTTGCTATCTAGGACTAGCTTGTCATAGACGAACTGAGGACCGCAACTCTGGAATGCTATCTTTGTGCAAGTTTCAACAACAGTGGGACTCTAGGTGCGTTTTGAACTTTTTCTTAGTTCTTTTAACTGGAAGAAACATTTTCTAAAGTTGGCTTTGTTGGTATTTTGCTTATAAAACTGCTCTTTAAGTGGACTTAAATAAAATCAATTTTCTTCCAGACTTGTTGACATTAAGCCATAATCATTAGTTCTTTCTCCAGTCCCTTGAAAGCAAAAAGTTTGGAAGAAGCCAAAAGTATAGTGTCAAGACAGCAGCAGGAGTCCAATCTTTGACCCCCGCCCCCAACCCCCACGCCACCCACCTCCTTCCCATTTTCTTTTGAAAAGCCTCAGGTCTTGAATGGTTCAGATCTCCCTTGCCTGCTCACCCCACACCTTTCTGCAATGCAAGGGTAGCCAGAATGTAACTCTTCTCTCTCAAACAAATGTTCAAAAATGTTGGTTTCGTGTATCCCAAGCCAAAAAAAAAAAAAAAAATCATTACAGACATCCATTTCAGGAAAGGCTTATCTCTCAAGAACATACAACCTGAAAAAAAGTTACCTCATGCGACTCACACCAAAAAAACATGAAGCAATTACATCAGCGTTGACATTTCACAAAGTAAAATGTGCCAAATACAAAATGTTACAATTATTTTCAGGGAAGAAACCATGTCCCTTCTCTTTTATAAAGAAGAAGAAGGAGGCGGTGGAGAACAGTAGAGTATACGGGGACTGTGGCTAGATCTGCAGACATCCTATTTCCAAACATCCAAACTGGAATATGTTTTCCCATTCTCTGCTGTCTGCTTTCCAAATCTGAAAAAGGTGCCTAAGATGTTCATGTATGTGTTTATTCAACAAACATAAAATGAGCTCCCAGTTTCCAAGTGATGTCCTAACAGCTCGAAATTAAACAACCACAAGGATAACTTCTTTCCCTGTCTGCTCACCACCTCAGGGAAGCCACAGCCTAATGAGGCTTCTAAAGCAGCTCCAAGGGTCTGGGAACTTTGATGGACTTTGCTCCCTAGAGACCTGCAGACTCTAGAAGTCAAAGCTACTCAAATCAGCATGAGAGCAAGAATTCCAAAAGTGCCAGATTTCACCTAACGATTCTCATCTTCGTTAACAATTTAATTTCGACATAGCTCTTCCTCTCTCTATGTCAGATTCCTCCACCCCAAAGCCACGTGGTTGACTGGCAACAGGCACAGCTCACTCATGAAAGACAAAGCAGGCAGAAAACAAGCAGGGGAGCTGCATGCTGGGACGTGTTCTGTGGATGGCCCCATCAGAAACAAACAGGGCTTAATTTAAACACACACTCACACACATAAGCGAGAGAGACCAGAGCAATTTTATAGGGTGATTTTGGAGAAAAACTCTACAACTGGAACCCTGAAATCTTGATTAGGAAAACACAAAAGTATAGGAACACGATTCATGGCAATCACAAACAAAATAAACAAAACTCCAGACAGAACTTTATCAGCCACTCAGGAGTATTTCAATCCCCAGCTCTGTCCGCTGACAGCCTGCAGCTAGTAATTGGGTTTTGTAGCAAATTGCTGAGGCTCCCAGTGAGATCTGCAAAATACTATCAAAGTTCCCAAACAAACAGTGGGAATACACTTTGGATGTATCCAGGGGTGGATGATCCCATTGTGTCTGTCATTTCCCCACCCGGCTGTTTTACCTCTAGTCAATCAACAACTCCATCCCTCCCACCTGAATGCAGACATCATGGAAGGGAAGAAGAGAATAAAACAAATAGTTATTGTCTATTTACTCTGCGTCTGGGCTTATGTCCGCATTAACTCTTTTAATGCCATCAGGTAGTTCTGTGAGACTGAAGTGACTTTCACGATGTTCCAAAATTAAGGGACTAAAAATTGACCCCGCCAAACTTCACAGGTACTAAGTGGCATATTTGGGATTTGAACCCAGGTCTGTGATTTTTTTTTTTTTTTGGTATGTCATATGGCTTTTCTGATAGGTTAAAGAGCTGATCTTTGTATGGGGTTAATTCTTTCAGAACAGTTTCACACGTAACTTTCATCTTGACATCATAAAATTTTATGAGCTGGGCAGGTTCTTTTAACTACATCATGCTGTCCCATTCTCCTTCTTGTCCTGAAGATGTAAAAAGACTGAAAGGCTGATCACCATCTCCAGGGGGGAAAAATAGATAGATAGATAGATAGATAGATAGATAGATAGATAGATAGATAGATACATGAAAGAGATCGAAATTTAAATAACCTTAACTAACTAAGTAGAATTGCCCTTAGAATTCCTTCTGTCTTTTTCCTGAGTCATGTCCGCTGCTGTGCCCAGATGTTCAGGTCTCACTTTTGGCTCCAGTCTAGAATCTCCCTCCTTGGACAAAGCTCCTCACTCTGAAGCAACCTGTCCCACATCAAGGGCCTCCTTTCCTAGGTCTTAGTCCTTCAGAATTCATTTGACTGACAAGAAGGAACAGTTAATTAATAAGATAAGCTGACTTGCAGTGATGTGAAAATGAATACAAATGGTTTTGTGATTTAGTCATCCCAGATAAGCACTGCAACACTTCTGGGACTCTATTGTATGGAAATAACTTATACAGGAAAATGCTATGCAAATCTGCTGATGGCAGATTTGTATATATAGCAGCAGAAAAAGAGTATGGAAGCAGCGTAAATGTCAAACAATAATGAAAGGAATAGGAAATTATGATAAATCTTATATAAATCTGTGATAAATCTATATAAAATTATGAGAAATTATATAAAAATCTATGATAAATCTATATATATGATAAATCTATATAAACATTAAAAAACACTCATGAAGAGCTTTGATAATATATTAGTATGAGGTTGCAGTATTACATATATATTTATTAATATATTAA